TGGCTAGAATGAAATATATTATATAATTGAGGATTGAGGTATGATCTTTATTTACATCCACCCAGAGGAAAAAAACAAACAAAAAAAAACAGGTGAATTGTCAGATTTGTGAATTCACAAACTCCCAAAAAATACTTTGTAGAAGTCAAATTGAACTACACTGACCTCTCCAGCTTAGCCAGGTTACTTTTTACCTGCTGTTCTAATAAAGACCTCATGGTGGAGTTGCACAACTACTTTAAAAGGGAGCATGTGAGTTCTTTTTTTTTTTTTCTTCCAGTTTCATGTCTTTTTTTTTTTACATTGAACATTTTAACTTAGGTTAAACTTTTTTTGTTACTTTGAATTAGGATTTTCCTCACAGTGTCTCCATTTATTTGCTTGTTTGAGGCTGCTGTCAATATTTGTTTTCCTTTTTCATGCAGGGAATTCTAACTAAAAGTAACATACTATTTTTAATTATTTTTATAAAATCTTAAAATTAACAATATTCAGAAGAGGATGAGGTGAAATCCAAACTGAATGATGTAACATAAGATGGCTAAAGATGGCATACTCAATATTAAAGAACATTTTCATGTTTTAATCAAAGTATTTCAAAAGAGTTTGACGCAATAAGATTTGTTAGCATAAAATATACATATACATTTAATTCAGCAGAAAGCAAATGATGCTCTAAATGTTTATTTAATTAGATTCTTAAACAAATCATACCACACATAACTGTATAACTGCAACTCACTTTTCTTCAGTTGTTGAATGATATTCCAGTGGCAGCAGGCAGAACTTAAAGGTCAAATCTGAAAGTTCAATGCATCAATCTAAGGGGGGAAAAAGGTTCCTAGAGCTTTTCAAATGTAAAACTTGGTTCTTCAATGGCTTAAAGTAACTGCCCAATTTACCTCCATGCTTTTTCATGCACAGATTGTGGCAGTTCCTTTTTAATTCGTTCAACCATTTAGCAACAACCCTGTAGTTGATTCTGAGTGTTTCATTTGCATTTTGTTGCTGTGAGGCAACAACATACAGTCAAAGGATGCAAAGGACTGACTTATCAAGGCAAAATAACAAAACAGACCTCAAGGGAAGCATCAGAGGGAGAACCTGAAGGCAAATTCATAAAGCAGATTGAGAAAAGAACAACTTTAAAACATGTGGAAGATCCAGAAACAAATATATTTCATTTAACAGTTGAGAAGATGTGTTCATGTTGATATGTGGCTTATTTTTTTCTGTCAAACTTTCTTGAGTAAAAGATTTTGGATTCATTTACTTAGGACATGGTATTTTTTTCTACTTTGTCTAAAGTCAGTTTCTCCCACCTGAGCAGCATCTCTGCCGAGCTCCTCAAGAGTTACAACCAATGTATTCACTGCTTCTTTAATTGTCAGTCCTGTGTCCATATGTTTGCAGTCATAGTTTGCCTGCTCTCAGTTCCTCAGCCCCCCCAAGGGGAAATCAGGGGGAAAACAGCTACACATGAAAACGCAAGTAAAACACTCAAGAACGTAAAAAAAGAAGTTAGAGCATCTGACATTTGCACTGACGTTGCGTAACTCAGCTGTTGCTCAGTCCATTAGCAGTTGTAATAATGCACTGAGCAAAGGGAGAAATGTGAGCCTGTTATGTTGCTTCCTCCCCTACCTGTAATCCAGATCTTAAGTACTGACTTCATCATGTTTTTTTCTTCAATGTTCTCAATGTTCACAAACGCCCTAAAGCTCCAGAAAAAATACATTAATGCAGAGATTTTTGCAGAGCTTTGTGTTATTTTGGCCAGTTCCCCCAAAAATATTTGTAAAATTCAATATTTTTTGTGACTTTAGCATAAAAAATTGTGGAAACATTCAAAGTGAGCTTGGTGCTCTAAAAACACTGGTACCAAAGTGCCCATAGATTTAATTATAATTATTTTGGATTAACAAATGTTTTCCAGAGTTTGCAGAAACTGTGAGTTTAAGGCTTGACTATCAGAGTTCAGCTAATCTTCAGAGGAAGATGATATTTGGAATATGCCACCAAAATCAAATCATTTTCTGGTGTCAGATATAGTTTAGTTTTTATGTTCTTTATTTTTGACAATCGTATTTAAGCCCCAGCCTTTGGCAGCAACATATATACAAGCTTTGCCTCAGTATTTTGATAACTTACAAACTATCTTTAAGTTTGTTTCATTGGTAAATTTAATGTTTTCAGAAACTGTACAGTAGGTTTAATGAACTGGCTCTAGTTTATTATTTCTTGGTCTGTTTCAATAGTGTATGTGGGATAATAGCAATGTCATCCACTCTTCTGTAACTCCATCCCAAACTGCTTCTGAACAAAATATCCTCAGGTTTCCCTCCTTTCTTAGGCCTTGGACACATTTTCTCCCCCCTGCTAAATTCTCCCAAATCACTTTATCCAGCCATGCACAGGGAAGCCTCCCCTCACCCTCGCTCCCAGGCTGATTCCAGCCCATTTCCATTGGATGCATTAGCATACAGATGTTAGACTGAAAAGGGAAAACAAGGGGGGAGACCCACAATGGTGCTGCATGACCAGGAGGAGAGGGAGGGTTTGAGGGGCTGCACAGGGATGGCCCTTGGCCTTTTAAAGGTCTTAGACAAGCACACACACAAACATAAAGACCCAAGCAAGGAGCACTGAATGGTTTGCAGCCATGGGGGTTGTGGGAGCCTGCTCCTGCTTCTTCTCTCTGCTGTTATTCATTCACCACGGTGAAATCCTCAGCCTGTCCACAGCTGAATGCCTCCACACACTCATCACCCACACAAGCACCCTCAGGTTCCTCACTTCCCTCTAACTGTGATGGATTAAAAGCTTTGTATGCTCCCAAATTCTGTGCTAAGGTTAGATATCTTTGGTATTTTTTCTTATACTTTATATATTCTAATCCTATATGCTAATCTGACAGACCTGAGTTTAGAAGTGCTTTCATCTCACAAAGGGGTTTGTTTTAACCATTTAGACATATTTATGAAGCTGGAAATTTGTGGGTAAGACGTATCAAGTTCCCAGTGTGACACAAACAAACACTCACAGAGGGACACAGGGGAGGATCTCAACTTCTGCTCCACTTTGTGTGAATAGATGGAAATCAGTCACAAGTATCTCAGTGTCCCATTGTGTGTCGGGAAGTCTTTGTTCGGGCATCTGTTGCCCAAACATTCTCCCCAGTGTCACTCACCCCAAATTGGTCCGTCCGGACGAGTCGTAACGAAACTCCCCTTCCCACACCATGCAGCACGGACGAGGGGGGGAGAGGCAGCGTGGTGGGGAGGGATGGGAGAATCCCACCAGAACCCATGGAGGGGAAAGGGTTAACCTTTGTTCCTTTTGTGTGTCAGTGAATCCCTGATGATGATCATAAAAGGCCCCCAGAAACAGAAGCAGCTTTTTTCTTTTTCTTTTTTTTTTTGTTTGTTATTTACTGAATTACTTGTGGGAACATTTTGGAAAGACTCTTGTGCCATGAGTTCCCTTTCATACCAGGACATCTCAGGTGAACTGTGACACTATCAGTCCATGGCTGATTAAAGAAACAAATCAAATGTATCATAAAAAACATGAGACAGGTCTGTATCTCAAATATCTAAGACTTGAATTCATTTTCTGGAAGATTCCCAGAATTTCCCTTTTTTAAGTTGCTTATATTGTAAATATAATTATATTGTAATGCCTTGTTTTCACTACATATTTCTAGGACTGGCAATTTTATATAGAGATGCACTGATCATGGTCAATACTGGTTGTTATTTTCTTTGAGGTCTAATTTAGTCCTTTTTGTTTTGTTTTTTTTTCTGAGGAAAATAATACAAGAAAATAAAATCTGGTGGAATGTCCAATGCTTGAGGTAGAAGATATGAATGATACTTAAAATGATGTAATGCCAAGATGATCTCTATGTCTCTATGCTATTTGATTTTTTCTAAAGAAGAAAAAGGGTGTCAAAGATGTGTGTTAGGTTGATTGCAAGTAAACAGCAGAATGACACAAAATCCAGAGTGATAAGCTTTTATTTTTCAAAAGACTTTTATTCTGAAATAAAGATGGACATATATATTAAGATAAAGAAGGTTACCCACGTAACCACTGGAATGTAAACAATAGATGCACTTAAATTATGTGAAAAACACAATATCAAACAGCATAATATAGGTTTTGCTCTTAAAAAGAAAAATAAATAGAACCTTAAGTTAACATGTCTTTCCTTTTTTTTTTAAAGAAACATCTTGCAGCCGAGTCGTTAAAAAGCTACAGATACAAGAAACATCTCTGGCCTCATCAGGGCAGGTGGTTGGGATGATTTCAAGAGAAAACTGGAACAGAAACTTTCCGTCTTCCTTCAAACTCACATGATTTCACCTGCCGGCCAGATAGCTGCTGTGCAACAGAAGTCAAGCTACAAACACATTGTCATGGAGCCAACTCTGAAAAAAAAACTCTAATATATAACATTATAATACAAAGGTAATAAAAAAAAAAAACAGTCATGACGGAGCTGCATGTCAAAATACATCCCCACAATTATTCTTACAACAAAATACACTCCAAACGGTTGACTGATGATTACCCCACATTTATATTTGCAGCAGATTACTTTACAGTTAAAATATGTGAAGCTTAATGGAGAGGAAGGCAGAATGGCCGACGAGCTTTCCGAGGCCAGTCCACCAAGTTGCTTGCTGAGACCAAAACCTAAAAGTGTTGATCGCTGCTCGGCCCGTCAGCCAATAAGGCAACAGAAAATAAAGAATGCCAAAAAAATGCTTGCTTCCTCCTTTCCTTCCCCTCCTCTCCATTAGCCGTTTTATTAAAGCTTCCAGTTGAACAAGCAGATGGAAAACATCGCTGCTAAAGTGTAGCGTAGTTTCTTCTCTTTTTTTTTCTTAAATCCTCAACACAAATTAAGAAGAAATAAAACAAGCAAAAAGAAATAAATAGTCCTAGGAACATGTTAGGCTATATCAATAGTTAAAACACTGTATATAACCTGCCGTAGCTAAGGCTAAGGGTTAACAGAGGGAGTATGTTAGAGCAACTTTGGTAACTAGAGATTTCTACGATCCGTGCTAAGGCAGTTCAGCTGAATCATTGCCAGACAGTTAAAAATACAATCATGTGGCCACAGCCATGCAACCAATCAACTAATCAATCAGTGACAGCATACAGTTACTGAATCCTCTAACACTTAGACAAGGATGAGATCAATTTAATAAAGCTGGAGAATCCTAAATGGAAACATATGACCCAGTGGACCTTTTCAGGCAGATTTCTAGAAATAAGGTCTGTAATGGCGAACTGCACGCTGTCTTGGAGGAGACAAAGCAAAGGAGAACACAACATCTCAAAATTAGGGTACAGAAAATTCTCACACAGAACTTTCCACTGAGCAGGAACAGCATGGAGACGAACGCTGAGCCGAATACCCTTCGGTTATTCTCTAAAACACAGGTATACAACAGTATACAGCAGTTACAATGGCATAAAATATAATAAAAATACCACAAAAATAGTCAGTAAAACAATAAACACAAAAGGGAGTCAGCTAAAACTGGACAAACACTGAGCAGCACTACAGCTGCTTGGGTAAAAGAAATGCAATATGCACAAAGATAGGTACCTTCACTCGGCTGGACCTAGAAAGGATCAGAAAAGCTAATTTTTTACTTTTCTGTGACCCCTAACTTATATTACAGTCACAGAGAGTTTAGACCATTCCTGATCTAACGCAGCCCCCAAACCCAAACTGTTCTCTATTCGTCTGAAATAGACAGGCGACTGAAGATGGGCAGACGGCGGCCCTCGAAGCTTGGAGACTCTGTGCCGCTGGAGGAGGAGCTGAGGGAACAGGAAGATGTGTAGCCTTCCTCGGAAAGGGATTCGGCCGAGGAGCAGCGCTGAAAGGAGGAGAAGCTGTTCAGAGAAGCTGGAAGCTGAGGAGGTAGGTGCACTGGGAGGTTCTGGTTCTTGGAGGTGAAGCTGGATGTTGGACATTTAGATTCAGTTGTGGTGTAGAGGCGCAGAGCAGCGTCTCCGCTGTCACCTGCCAGGTCACTGATGCCAGAGAAGGGGTAAGGGCAATGCTTCAGAGGCCTGGGCTCAGGAAAGAGAGGGGAGAGGAGCTCTGGGCTTCCAGAGGAGGGAGGGGGGGACACTGAGGAGGCTCGAGAAAAGAGGAGGCTGGAAGGCTGAGACTCCTCAACTGGTTGGAAGATGTGGGCAGTGGAGGAAAAGCCAGCAAAGCTGAGGCTGTGCCGCAGCAAAGGAGGCCTCACTTTCGGCCTCTGAGGAGCCGCAGCGGAGCCGGCCATTTGAATCTCATCCGCGTTGTGGATGAAATGGCAGCGGGCACCGTAAGGGCAGAAGCCTATCGTGTGGAAAGTACGACAAGGCTCGGTCTTGTACTTGGGGTGCCTGCTGAGTCCTCTCAGCTCATCCAGGCCGTGAGCAAACTGGCACTTTGCCCCGTACTTGCAGGTCCCGCTCTCCTCAAAGGTGCGACAGAGTTCTGTCTTGTATCTGCTGGAGATGTGCGGCGGTGGCAGCACCGGCGGTCTGGAGGAAGAGGAGGAGGCTGTGGAGGCCAGAGAGGTGTTGCTGAGACACAGACCTGGTGGTGGGAGCAGCACTGATGGGGAGGCAGTCGGAACTTTGTCTTCTTTTCCCCCCACATTACTGATGTTCCCCTCGATCATGCTGACCGAGCGGTCAACTCTGAAAGGGATGTGACTCAGCGAGGAGCGTTGAAGCGCCCGGTTCCACTGCTGGTTGGAGGCCTGGCTGAGCCCCCAGCAGGCCGACTCCATCACTTCAGAGCTGCTGTTGAACTTGGAGTTGGGAAGGGTCACAGGGCAAAGAGAGTGGCGTCTCTGAAAGCCCAGAACTCTTTGACTGCGCTGCAGCGAGCTCGAGGAGGGTCCATCTGTCCCATCCAGGACACAGAGATTCTGACACACAAAAGGGGAGAAGAGAATAATGTGAGCTCTTTGCAAATACAGGGTGCAAGATAAAGCCTGGAGAGGGAATTAAGATCGAAACGACCCTGAATAGGAAATCCATCACCCACAGTGAGGGAAAAACCCACGTAACCATATCTGAGTAGCCCTTAAGTGTCAGAAACTTTAAGGTGGACTTTTGGTTGTAAATATGTACCACTTTGAAATATGAAGATTTTTCATATATTTCAACTACTTTGTCAACTACGACTAGTTAAATACAAAACATTTTTTTTTTTACTTTTTTGCTGTACTTCATTCTAAAAACAATGAAAAAAATCTTTAGGTTGCTTAAAAAAAAAATAAAAAAAAAAGACTTTAAAGTTTTTTGGTTCTTACCTTGCAAAACTCCTCATCCAGTTCCAGGAAAGGCGTCAGAGAGTCGGAGGGCATGATTCACTCCACAGTCTTCACCAAGTGAAGCAGCCTGATGTCTGATTTCACAATGGATCGATTCCAGTAGTTGACGACAAATTAAACTAATCTTAACAGCTTGGAAGAAGACTACAACTAGTTTTGAAGAAAGTTTGTGTTCCAGTAGTCTTGATTGAGTTAATTCCTATTTTTTTTTTTTGTTGTTGTTGCTAATCTAGAATAATAATGCCTTGGTTTGCAGGCAGAGTGAGAAGAAGCAATGAGTCATCAGGAGGAAAGTTCCTCAACCATCTGCTGGAATCTGTTTAAGTAGTTGGGGAAACCCACCCGCATGGGCCCACCCCCTCCAGTCTGTATGCTTCAGGGGGCAGGCGGGGAGTTTGTGTGTTAATGTGCGTTAATGATGTGTGTCAGCATGTGTGTGTTGGCGGGGGTGGGGTCCTGCATTGTAATTGTGTGCTGGGGGGCAGGGTGGGCACAGAAAGGAGGGAAGGGAGGTGAATAAAGCTACTTTTCTACTCATTCATGACCGGAGCCTTAAAAAAAAAGCATTCTTCTTCAAAAGGGCCGTCCCCCATCTTTGTTCTGGATCGATACAGCTGAAAGGTTAATGATAAGTCTTATCAAACACATGTGGGAAAAGAAAAACCTAAGAAGTTGCAAAGAGATTGAAAGGAAATTGGTATTCAACTGTGCTCAAGGGTGTGGAAGACAGACATGCAACAGAAGGACAAACTGCTAAACTAAGACAAAGTGCAACTTAGTATCCTTTAAGAATTGCTTTAAAGTTAAATTAAGTGCAAAAACTTAATTACAATAGTTTATTTTTCTGCACTATGAAACAGTAAGAGCACTCCTGTGTATTCCATGATTTTCTTTCCACCTAAAACGTATTTTCAGTCCTTAAACAGATGATGGAGATGCGTGGGTTTGCCAACAGGCCCTGGCTAAGGTTTAACTGCTGTTTTTACAGCTTGCATCTAATAAAATTACACACAGTGAACTGAAAAAGCTTTGTTAGTAAATGTTTGACAATATTGTTTGGATCCATGAAAGTAAGAGAAATTAATTTTTATTAGCTTAATAATAGTTGTTGTTAATAACAGGTTGCTTTGCCATGAAGCATACCATTAAGCAGAAGTTAGTAGCTTTCCATCCTGCAACTGGAAAATGGTTAAAACTGGTATGAAATGGTTCCTAGAGTTTGGCTTAACAATAACATAATGCCTCCAATATCTCAAAGTGACTTTCTTTTTTACTTAAAACTTGTTTGCTTGTTAAAATAGAATAGAATAGAATAGAATAGAAAATCCCTTTATTTTCCCACAATGGGGAAATTCTGGTGTTACAGCAGCAAAAAATATTATAGAATAAATGGTCACACAAATGTGGACTTTAGAAATAAGAATAACCTAATAGAGAAGAGTTAAAAAGAAATAAAAAACTGTACTGTAAAGGGTTTAACAATATAAATGCTGTGCACCTGGAGAATAAATAACCAATATACAGCTATGGGCATTTTTGCAGTAATGGACTGATGTGATGAAATGAACAGGCCCATTTGTTTGGCAAACCCAGGAAGGAAAATCATCTGAACTCCAAATTCTAACTTGGAAAGTCATTTCTTCCTAACAAAAAAAACAAAACAAAACTCTAAATAGCAACATTGCTGATGCAGTCATAACAGTTAGTTAAATTCAACTGCCCTTTCCAACCCCAGTTTGGCTTCCGTGTTAGTGATAGGAGCAGCAATAAGTGTTTATTTTTACTTTTTACAGTTTCTATCAGCCTCTATCTGTTACACACGTAGTAATGTGCAATCGTTGCTAGAGTGAACGTTAATGCCGTTTTTTAATCCATATATCTAAGTAAAAAGGATTTTTTTTTTGCTTCCTAATTGTTGTTGTGTCATAATGGATAATTCTTCACATATCCTAGTTTGCATTTCACAAGAGAAAAATATAAAGTTTGAGTTAAAATTACTGTAAGAACCAAGTTTCACATTAATATTATAACTTTATGACAAAAAGTCCCTACAGTTAATCATAAACTTTTTCAATCTGATTATAGACTTAGATTAGTTTTCCATGAGGCTTAGACTAAAGCCATGACTCAAAATGCTAAACTTTTAACAAAAGCCTACATTATCCTAACACTAACAAATGAAGTCAAAGGTTTCCACCAACCCTGAACTAAAAACCTGATTACATCTAAAACTATTAAAAGATTATCATAGCAACTAAGACAATTTATTTCTTTTTTTTAATATATTCTGTATCCTATAAAGTGAGACATTGGCTCAGCTTGATGCAATCTTTGTAAAATAATGTGTTTTAGACTATTTTAACCAAAAAGAATGATTAGATATACATTATTATTAACCAGCTAATAGTTCTAGTAATAGTTCTAGTAACAGAAATAAACAAGTAAACTTACTTGGGAAATTAAATGTACTTTAATATTGCTCTTTTAAGAAATCACAGTAATTGTTACAAAGTAAAAGTTTAAGTTTAAAAAGAGATTTATATTCACAAAAAATATTACTTAGCCTCAAGTTTACACTCTTTTGTGTGGGCTAAATTTGGGTCAGTTGTCTGTTTGGGTTCAAAGTTCATCCTGAAGCTTAGAAATGCCCCCAAGCCTAGAAGGGGTTTCAGCGGCTAGTAAAAAGCTCATCAGTACCCAACCCAGCTTGGTTTTAGGTTTAAAGACGCCTTTAAGGAGGGGTGGGAAACCTATTTCTGTTTTTCCAAATGACTCTTTTGATTGTTATGGGACTTTATAAAAGAGGCAGATGTAGTGAAACATGAGCTCTGAACGCTGCTCATCTCTATGATTTACAGGTTGTTGCCAACATTTGCTTCTTTTAATGGCTTTCATTTCCACCCAGAAAAAAGACACTTTCTTTTCTATTTACTATCTGTGAGCTAAAAATGACTTTTCTTAAAAAAGTACATTATGATCATGTATGTGTTTTTTTCACTAGCTAAATAGGAATAAATCTAAAGTTATATTTTTGAACCAAAGGAGGATTGATCAAAGGTTAGCACACAGCTTCAGTTACTAAACTGGAAACTGATCAAGCCTGAAATCTGAGTGCAGTAATGGACCCAAACCTTAAAAGGCACATAAAGATAGTTACGAAGATGGTCGTCTTTTACCTTAAGGACATTTCCAGGATTAAAGGACTAATATTCCATCTGGATCTTGGGAAAAAAATCCTCTGAATAGTCTGACACCAGCATACAGTAGATTATAGGTTGTTGACAGAAGCAAACACAGGGAAGCAGCTTTTAGTCTTTTATTCTCCACTTATCTGGAACTAACTCTATAGAAGTGTTAATACCCTAAATTCCTTTAAATCTAGAATAGAACCCTTTGATTAAGAGTTAAGAGTTCCCTTTGGCTGTTTTAATTATTGGTTAAAAAATCATTAGTTTAAATTTGAAGTCCAACTTTCTCTATCCATCTTTTCAGCCCTGCTCTGTGGTGTACTCTGTGTTGTTGTGAACTGGTTTGTTGTTACAAAAACAAAACTAAGCCAAATAAACAAAGCAGGAGGAAAGGGCAGGCCTATGTTATCACATTACTCTTAACTGATATAATCTGTTGCACAAGAGATATCTCATATCAACAATGGTGAGCAGGCAGTCTGGAGGATCAGAAGTGACTCAGCTGTTGTCCCTTTTTTAAACTTTCTCTTCTTAATTTGTTGTTTTTTGGCCCGATACAAAGAGAAGTAGTAAATCATACCATATGCATAATGCTTAACACGTACCGCAAAATTATAATCACTGTGGGGCATGTCTGCTGTAGTTTAGAATAGCATAAATTACCTTAAAATGGGCATCTGTAGTAGCTCCTCCCCCACAGCTGAGCCTACTCTGAACATGCAGGCTAGTAAACAGGCCAAATATGTTTACATTAGCCCTATTTACACTACCTTGTTTGAAACAGTGCCGAGATTGGTCCGAGTACGGTAACAGAGATTACTGTTGAGTTTAAATGGCACATCCAACTGAACCGGACTGTGCCAGACACAACCGAACCGCGCTAACATGGTACTGGTTCATCAGTAGGGCTCGGCGGGGTTCAGTTCTGTCTCACTTCTCAGATAACAAAGAGCAGAGGAGCTGACCGCATCTTCTCCTTACAGTCAGCCTCTGTAATAATGAAACTTCAGACATTCATTAAAATACTAGCTTCCCTACTGTCCCACATGATTTCCAGTGCTGATTCTGCTTAGCTGTGTGAATAACTTCAACTTTCTGCATTTGTGAGATTAGGCTATCGTTTTTATCGTATCCACTTCACCAAAGGCAGCCTTATTTGCCTGACTCCCCGCAAAAAAAGAAATATCACAATTATAACGAAACTTCCTGAAAGTTACGGGTGCCGTCATGTTGGTTTGCTTGTTTACCTCTAGACAGCAGTAGTATCATAGATTGCCACTAGGAGACGAGCAGCCATGCTAGCGTGATGTGTAAATGGTTGTAAACGCTGATTCATACTTCAAAACCAGGTCGTCTGCGTGTGTCGCAGTGAATGCAAATGTGCCCCCGCCCCTGCCGCAGACACTCTACTGCACCTCTCCAGAATTGTAGGTGACATTTTTACAAAAGTAGCCTACCCCACCTGTTATGCACATGTTTTATCCCAAACTAAAACAACAACAATTGAGGAATTTAGAGTTGCAAAGGTGTTTCAGAGGCTATTCAACTTGTTGTGAACATCCCACCAACTTGTCCCTCTGATGACTGAGGGTACAGGCCGTAGTTGGAAAAGTTCAAGATTTATTTCAAGTGATTATTTTCTTAAACCATTTAATGCACACAGACATTCAGAAATGATTTACTGTTGTGGCAGCATGACTACACCACTTGCAGGAGTGGGATAACTATTTCAGAACATACTGCAGCTCTTTTGGCTTGTTTGAGTTAACTTTATGTTGAAGAGTTTCTCTGCTGACACAGTTTACAGCTCAGTGTTGATTCGGCCTGAGGGACCAACACCATCTTCAACAAGGACATTCATTGTCTTACCAGCTCCATACGAGGATCAAAAGTGGATTATTTAAAGAAAGAATTTTCTGTGCAGAACTTGGCTATATTCAGCATTTTGTCTTCCTTGCTCTGCACTCCTCAAACTAATGACAGCAAGGATCCTTGTTTTGAAGGACAGGTTGCTGTAGCTGCCAACTAGGTTGAAATATGGCAACATTTGATTGATTACTGAAGCTAGTTTAAGGCAACAAGTGAGCTCTAAATCATGGTCACTTAATAATAATAAAATA